CAGAGTGCCCGGCCCCCATGTGCCCGGGCCCAGTGGACTCAGCCACGGGGATACGCCATTCCTCCTTCCCTCCCCAGAGACTTCATCGAGCAGCACTATGTGACCCTGAAGAAGGCAAATCCCGACTTCCCCATCTTGATCCGTGAGTGCTCCGGTGTCCAGCCCAAGCTCTGGGCTCGGTACGGTAAGTGGGGGGTGTCCGCCGGGAAGTACCGCCAGAGGACAGCTAAAAGCGAGCGCCAGCGCCCGCACTCTGCAGTAAATACGGTGTTCAGGGATTACAGTAAAGGACGGATGGAGAGGGAGCAGCTGTCCATGAGGCAAGGTGGAGATTGACTTCAGAGAAATGCGATACTGCTGTGTGATCTGGTGGGAGGCAAAAAAAGGGACCTGCAGCTCAGAAGGTGGTTGCTAGCTTGTGGCTGTGAACTCCCATCCCTGTAGGATTCCTATACAGAAAAATGTTTCAGTTTTTTCTTTTTTTTCACTGCATTCTTGGTGAAACACCAAGGAGGGAGCAGAAAAGCCCCACTATAAAGGCTTTGTTTTCTTCCTAAAGTTATCTGGGCTGGACAAAAGTAATTTAGAAACTTTCTTTCAAAGAGATGCAATGACTCTTTAAGCATGAGTTTCCCAGTGTGAGCATATGGGCCAGTAGAGCCTGCTGGTATAGTGCCTGTCTCTTGTCTGTATTTGACTTGCAGGGAAATATACCCCTGGGTAGAGGCTGCTGTAGGAACAACAAGTTTTTCAGCACTATTTTACTTAAGTGTTGGTGAGCGTCTTGATATGAGCAGGCCGAAGGCCACCAGGTTCCTTTAGGATGTGGTGGTGGCCTCTGCCCAGCTGCTGTGCAGGAAAAGCTAACAAAAAGAGGCAAAGAAACGTGTTAGGCCACATTGGCTTTTCTCCAAGGGAAAGGCTGAGAGTAAAGAGAAGGTGGAAACGATAACTTGGGCACAGGGAGGCACACTGGGGAGTGGTGGATGCAAAAGGGTGGTGATGGGAGCCTGGGCTGTGATGCCAGTGACAGTTGGGAAGCCTAAAGCAGGGCTTTGGGTTGCCCCTGCACCAGAAAAGGACCAAGGCACCTGCCCCCTCTCTCACTCTGTCTTTCCCGCAGAGTTTGGCAAGGAGAAAAGCGTGCCACTGAACAACCTTACCGTGGATGAAGTGGCCAAGGCCTTGGAGAACATTGTGAAAAGTAAGGTGTGAAGACAGACAGTAAATATGCGTGTGCTGAAGACTTGACTGATTATCTTTAATGTAAAACATGTATCTTTAACTTACCAATCACATAAATGCAACGTGCTTACCCTGAGCTTCACATGTTGGGTTTAAAGCCAAAAGGAGATGCTGGAGGGAACAGCTGATCCAGCAGGGTTTATACACCACCTCCCCATCTGCCTGGATTGTAGCTCTGCTCTGCCCCTGCACCAAGCGCTGGGGAGTCATGTGGCAGCCTGCTGATAGCTATGAGGTGGTGACAAAGATGGAAACGGCCATATCTTGCTAAGGACCGGCATCCCTGTGCAGCCAGCACTGGTGCTTACAGCTAGCAGTTAGACCCCTAACCAGCCCTTGAGAAAGCAGGGCACAGGGTGAACAAATGGTTTGCTCCTTGGAGAGCAGGGGGAGGGAAGGGAGGTGGTGTGGCGTGGCCTAGGAGAAGGCAGACAATATGGTGTGGCAGGGACTGAAGACAGAGGTTCCCAGGAGCTGCCCAACCATGTCCAGCAGTGCTCGTGCTCGCTCCTGGAGTTCTGGGGTGCTCTGGTGCTGCTCAAGGGCCCGGTGCCCACCTTGCCTGACAAAGTCAGTAGCAGCCTGTATGAGGGGAGAGGAGTGAGAGCTGGCTGGCTGCTGCAGCTGATCCTGTCTGCCCGGAGCCACCACTGTACAATCCAGGGAGTGGGGTTGAAGGAATGCCCCAGAGCCCTACCTGACACTGAAGTCCCAAGCCAGGTAAATCCAGCCATGCTGATTGCTGGCCGGGATTGCACAGATCTTGAAGTAAGCACAACTGAATCAAAAGAATCCCCCCATAATAACCTCAAATAGTACAACCAACCTGCCCCAAACCAGTCATTGTCAATGAAAAAGGAACTCCCCAGCGACACAAGAAGGGCTTTCACCCTCTGCATCACACAAGTGCCCCCCTTCAGGCACGTGTCTGAGTGCTGAGGAGTGGGGGGCTAGCGTGGCAATGACTGAAGGCAGTACTATTTAAATAATAATAATCCCCATCCCTGGCTTTATGATCTTGTGCTTGATTCTGGGGCAGGCACCCCTGGCTCTTACCTCTGGCCAGTGCAGGAAGAGGAGGTGCAGCAGCTCGAGGCACTGTCCCACCACTTCAGGGTCGGGCAGAGTGAGGGTGGGTAGCAGCAGGGGCAGGGCAGGCTGTTGGTACAGCTGCTGGCAGTAGGCTGGCCCCTTCTCCGCTATATTGCACAGAACTGTCAGGACCTGGATGGAGACGCCATGAGAGAGAGTGAGCAATGAATGCTTTGTTAGTGGGCAGATTATTGACAGGCTTAGGAGGGCTCCAAAGAACTCCCTGTGTCCTCCCTGGAGGTCCTGCCAGGTGCTTCCCCAAAGCTGTGTATCCACCAACTGGCTGGATTTTCAATGCTTTTTAAAAGCTGCCTCCATCCCCACCCCAAGGTACTGTTCATCCCTGTGGCAAGCAGATGCAGCTGTACTGCCCACCCCTTGGCAGAGCATCTCCCCAGGACCCCCTAAAGCTTTAGGGTCTTCCAAAAGAATGTGGCAGCAGCCTCCCTGGGCCCACTCCAGGTGCTGGCATGCCTGGCCCCAAGTTCTGCCTTGGGACCCCTGTTCTGCCAGGACAAGACTGTCAAAGGTGGTGACTTCTGGGGAGGCGGATGGTGACGCCACCACAACATGAGACCTTCCGCCAAGCTGTTGCTACCGCCCCAAGCCAACCTCCAACTTGAGCACTGTGTGTGGGATTCACGTTCCTGAAAGTCCAGTGCTTCCCCCCCAGACCTGGGGCAAAAGACAAGGTCTTACCAACACACTGGCCATCTGAGAACATGGCAGGAGCTGCAGCAGGGCTGGGAGCAAGTCCAGGGAGAACAGAGCGGAGCAGAAGAAGGGCTTGTCTGCTAGGGTGGGCAGAGAAAGAACGTGTCAATAAAATCGAGGTTTCTGAGGGAGGTCTCTGTAGGCAAGATGCCAGCAATCAAGGCAGGTCCTGGCAGCAGCTCTGGCTCTGCTGACAGCCCTGCAGGACACTCACCCGTGAGGTTGTTCAGCAGCCAGAGACACTCCTGTGCTATGAATGGGTGCTGCTGGAGGAAGCACTGCAGGATGAGGAAGAGGGCGATGAGCAGGCGCTCGTCCTGGATCTGGACTTCACAGCCTGTCTCCTCTGCGAGGAGGTTGCTGAGACACCGCAGCACTGGGCAGATGAGCTGTGACAGTGGGAAACTGCCCTTTAGCCAGGCCCTGCAGCAATGCCAAGAACAGCCAGCACCCTGCCCGCATCTTACCAGCTCCAGGCCCTCAGGAGCATCTTGAGGGATTTCAGAAGCCAGGTCGAGCAAGAGCGAGGTGAGGGCAGGCAAGGCCCCCAGTGACAGCAATGCTGTGTTGGCTGTATGGCTGCAAAGGGAAGGGACAGCATGGTTGCTCTTGGCGCTCAGAGAGGGAAAACAGCTGCAGAGGGCTTGTTTCTGAGCTTAAGAGAAAGTTTAAAAGCCCATGGAAAACGGATCCACTGGAATTATCTGTGTGAGTCTGGAAACAACAGCCCCAATCCTTCTTTGAGTACCCGCACATTCCTTTCTGCTGGGGTTGCTGAAAGAGATGGCACTGGAGCAGCCATCTACCACCAGGGCAGGTAGAGAATGTTGGCAGCAACCAGCCCAGCCAGGTGACGCTGGGCCAACCCCAGAAGCGCGAAGATTCAGGGAGCTTGCCTTGGGAGCGTGGGGGACAACTCCAGACATGGGGAGGCGATTGGGGGGGTTCAGAGGACTAGAAACAGCCTCCTCAGGTTTATCACCTGTTACCATGCTGTAAAGGAGCTCAGTGATCCTGCAAACAGCATGTGTGTGCTCAGATAT